CCAATTGCTTTGATATTACATATATAGGTACTACATGTGGACCTCTCTCAAATTTGTTAATTTTGTAATGATATCGTCAATTCTCTAATTTTGGTGAATATTTTTGTCATTTTTGGTAAAAAGTGATATTTTCGACTTCTTGTTAAAAACCGCAAGTCCAATTGCTTTGATATTATTACATATATAGTTACTACATGTGGACCTCTCTCAGATTTGTTCATTTTGTAATGATATCTTTAATTATCTAATTTTGGTGAATATTTTTGTCATTTTTGGTAAAAAGTGATATTTTCTTCTTGTTAAAAACCACAATCATTTATGGTGAAAAATGATATTTTTGAATTCTTGTTGAAAACAGCAAGTCCCATTGCATTGATACTATGCATATTGTTCATTTTCTAATATCTTCTGTTCTTTAATTGAAATGTGCTTGTTTAATTAACAGATATCCAAAGATTGATATTGCAATACACTGAAAAGTAACTTATTTTTGAAGTTATACTGTGATTAGAATAACTATTAAGTCTATTTTCTCTGAAGCACCATTGTATCTGTTCCGTTAATTGCATACATGTACCTGTAATAGAAACGCACACTAACTAACACACACTTCAGTTACAACACTGTAATACCAACATTTTTTTGCCAACTCCATTTTACAATAAAACTACATGGGAACTATGCAAACTTGTCAGTTTATATTCTGATTTATCACTGACTATCTCAAAAAAGTGAGTTTTTGGATAACTCAAGAATGATCAGAATAAAAAAAAATGTCCGTCAGTCTGCCATCTTGAATCAAATCAGGAAACAGAATGATTTAAATTGTTGACACACTATTCACATTCTTTATGAACAAAACAGAAACTGCGCACATTAACATTATTCACAAACCAAGATAAATCTACAAGTTTCAGAGGAATTTTGCAATTACTGGAAAGTATTTTAAGGAATTTAACTGTCTTCCTCACAGAATGTCAGCTGATGGAAACCGAAAAACCCAAATCGAACACATTTATTATTCGCTGTTTACAATGGACATCTGTAATAGAAAGGACATTTCATGTTGATACTCCAGAAACAAGGTAATAACTGTATTAGTTGTATGAAGCTTCATCTTCTAGATATGAGCCAACTAATCTCACTCAGTGTTAAAATGCTAACTCTGTTGCAATACTGTTTATGTGGGTGCTTTGTTTTATTATTAATTATTAAGTATTCATACTTGATTGTTATGTCATCAGCTCTTATGTGTTATAACAATACCCCCCCCCCCCCCCATCATCTCTGAATTTTTGTTAGAAACCAGAAATGAGATAAATGTTTTCTAATACATCCATTGACAGGAATCAGCTTAAGGCTTGATTCTATTCATAGAATTTTTATTTGTTCATCAATGATACCGCCTTAAAGCCATTTATGTTATAAAAATATTAATGACATTTACAACCAGTTTGGCATAAACCTTTACAGGTCTAATGCTCTTGTTGTTTTTTATAAATCTGTCTATTTCAAGGATTATAATAACACATTAACGCAGTGATGCCACTAGTCACCTCGATGCTTGGGCACCATCGGATATGCGTCAAATTATCTGTAGTGACAATTTCAAGCAATTTTATCATGACATTTAGTTGTAACCCTTTTCAAGAAATCAAATTAGCCTGCGAGTGTGAAAAGCGAATAAAAATACACAGAAGAATAAAAAATCGTAGAAGATAAAATTGGTTAATGAAGGGAGAGCAACCACAGCGGACGAGGGACAAGGGTCAGCTATATAGTGCATTTTCACGCATGTTGGTTGTTCAGTTAATGGATCTAACAATCACGCTTGTTTTTCCTAAGATGAATCTGACTTAATAACAAATAATAAACAGAAAACAATTTTAAACTATTTTGTTCTTTTCTACATTGTGGCTGATTTTGTGTTTTTGTAGGAAAGAATGGATTGAGGCTATTCAGTCAGTAGCGACTGCCATCAAAGAAGACGAGGAACGAAAAAGTCAAGCAGCAGGCAGTGATGAGGACGATCAGTTACCTGATCAAAAGCCGAAGAAAGTTGTAAGTTTAAATAGAATTTGTTTAATGACTCTTTCTTTGTCATATACAAACCATCCTGTGTTTGTGAAGTTTTGCAGTTGAATATATTTATTTGAAATTTCATACCAAATGTTTGACTTTGATGACAGTGCACTCATTTTCCTCACAATACTAGTACAGAAAATATCCATATACAGGTAACAATCTGAGGCCGGTTTTCCTGAACAACAATCCATAATTTACAGGAGTGCACATTTATTGGGCTTTCTACTGATATCATCTGAACAATAAACAGTGGCCTGATTTGAAAGTTCAGACTATCCATCCTTGCTGAAACATACAGACTTTGCTGTAAGAGTATCCCAGGAATAACTCCCACTGTAAAAGTGTGCCACTAAGAATATTCACTATGTGGTAATTTGTACGTTGTTTCTGAAGAGGAATTTCTGATTTGAGGACCCAAGTAAAATTATTCACTACTACAACATTTGTCATTTCTCACTTGGAAAAATATTGTCGAAAATAAAGCAGTATTTTTTTTTATTTTCTCTGTAAATTTGAATTTGTACAATAAGCAAAACATTTGCAGACTTCATTTGTGACACTAACATTTTGTTTTGTTCTCATTATAGACATTGGAAGACTTTCAGTTTTTGAAGGTTTTAGGGAAAGGGACTTTTGGCAAGGTTATTCTTGTCAGGGAAAAAACAGCCGGAATGCACTATGCCATCAAGATTTTAAAGAAAGAAGTTATTGTGGCAAAGGTAGTATTGATTATTGTGGCCTCACTTGGTTTTGTTGTTGTTTCCAACCCTCTTCTTGCTGTGTTATGTAATAATACTCAAAATACATACCAGGAGCTCCTCTTGCAATAATTTCTTGCGTCTATTACTTTCTTTGTCTTTCCCCCTGAAATTTGCTAAGTGTACTTGAAAACAGGTTTGCAAAGAAAGTTTGTTCTAATTCTGTTTATTTGTGTTTTCAGGATGAAGTTGCGCATACATTGACAGAAAACAGAGTACTTCAAACAACAAGACATCCATTTCTTACAGTAAGTTATTGCTATTTATTTAAGTAAAATAGCAAGTTTTCCTTCCTCTGGAAAAAATATTCAAACTGAGACCTTATTTATATCTTATAACTTTAAATTCATCTTTTGTTCCAGTCGCTGAAGTACTCATTTCAAACAAAAGACAGACTGTGCTTCGTCATGGAATATGTCAATGGTGGTGAATTGTTTTTCCACCTTTCAAGGGAAAGGGTGTTTTCTGAAGAACGTACTCGATTTTATGGCGCTGAAATCGTCTCGGCTTTAGCGTATCTTCATTCCTGCAACGTAATTTACAGAGATTTAAAGGTATGATCATGAAAAAGAATGTAATTTTTTTCATCTGTACCGGGTAAATGATCATGGAAGTATTTGTTTACAGATTTTCTGATGCTTTCTAGAAGATTGAACTTTTTTTTTTTACTTTTTTTTTTTACTTTTTTTTTTTTTTTGCAATAGTTGGAAAATTTATTGTTAGACAAAGAAGGTCATATTAAGATCACAGATTTTGGTTTGTGTAAAGAAGAAATATCTTATGGAGATACGACAAAAACATTTTGTGGTACGCCAGAGTATTTAGCTCCAGAGGTAAGTATACTCTAAGACCTTATATAAAAGTAATGTTTATGTTAAAAATCAATGACACTATCTGCATATACATTTACAAATTGATTATCCTGGTATGTGTGAATCCAACTTGATGTATTCAACCCTGCACTGTCTAGCACCATCTAGTGGCAGAACATGTCATTAGTTTTGTTTTTACGCTGTAGGTTTTAGAAGATAATGACTATGGCCGTGCCGTTGATTGGTGGGGTACCGGTGTTGTTATGTATGAAATGATGTGCGGCAGATTACCTTTCTACAATCGAGATCATGAAGTTTTATTTGAGAAGATACTTACAGAAGATATTAGGTTCCCTAAGAATTTGTCAGATCATGGGAAAACCCTGTTGTCAGGGTTGTTAATTAAAGATCCCAAACTACGGTGTGTTACAAATGCTTTCATTTATCAATATGGCAACATTGTACAGTGCCGATTCGAAACTTCACAAAGTCACTGTTTTTTAGGGCCCAAGTGATTTTTTTTCAGTTATAAATGTTGCCGTTATACTGAAACTTGTGATAAAATGTCTTGCACAAAATGAAAATCTTTCTCTATTTTTCTTCTGTTCACAGGCTCGGTGGTGGACCGGAAGATGCTAAGGAAATTATGGAACATAAATTTTTTGAGTCAGTAGATTGGGACGAACTTTATAATAAAAAGGTTGGTGATATAAACAACAGAATTGTGACTAATTAGCATATGAATTTGCATACTAATTAGCATAGTGTACAATTATATTTTTTGATACAAATACAAATCAGTTAAATAAAATGGGATTATTACAAAAAATGTATTATTTACTATTATTATTTGGTTAAAATTACATACAATTTATACATCATTACTATGAATTCATAAATAAAAATTGAAATATAACCCTTACCTGCCAGAGCCATGTCCAGATGAGGGTCAAAATCATGTAAATTTGACACACCCACCACCACCAACTCTTTGTTTTACTGCTCCCTTAATAGCTTTGAGCATGTTCTGGTAATTTGCATATCACTTATCAACAGTAAAAAAAAAAACAAGGCAGCCGTAAGGAACTATCCGTTTCAGTGTGAGTCTGTCTGATTTATTTACCTGGATTAAAATGCAGGTTAATTGTATTTCATTTGCAAAACATTTCACCTGTTCCTGTCTTGATTAGTAAGTAAATAAACAGCTGATTATGAACATTTTTGGATTTATTGATAAACTTTGTCTTTATTCATCATAGGTATTTAACTAATTTAAAAGTGATGATAGGTTCATTGATAGTGAATTACTTGTTAATTTCATCATTGCCTTCAAGCATTCTCTGGTGGCCAACCTTGTCTTTGGTGGTATTGCCAGGAATACTAACATTAGGCGTTGTCATGTATATTCACTTTCAACTTTTGAACACCAAGAAATACAAACCGAGCTTCACACTTACTTTCAGTCACTTTTTTTTAATGTGTTAATTTTAAAGTACACTGAAAATAGTAAAGGTACATAACAGTTTGATAAGATTAGATCAGTTGAGATTGAATCTTTTCAGAGTTGCGGTCAACCTGTCAATATTCCCTGCTACCAACAGTTTCTTTACGATGAACACTGTAATATATATCAACATTTGAAAAGCATTTCAATTCAACATTTTTCACAATGTATTATTCAATTGCATTATGGAGCAAATGAACATAATTTCTGATTTCCGCCGGTCTTGTAAAAAAGTTATTCATGTTTAGGTAGTTTTGTGAAAAGTAATAAAAGTGTATTTCACATGGTTACGAGATACTGTGTTATTTTATCATTCCAGGTGACGCCACCATTCAAACCAGAGGTGACGTCTGACACAGATACTAGATTTTTCGATGCCGAGTTCACAGGAGAACCAGTAGATCTCACACCTCCAATAGATAGTGGTATGTATCAGCAGTTGTTTTCTCTGTGATCATTTAATTGACTTAAGAAAGCAAACCATGTTGGTGTCTTTAGCAGTAATTATGCTGTGCTGCCTAGGGAAAAAATAAATCAAGAGTATAAAGAGTGTATCAAGTACTGTAGTATAAAGGGTGTATAAAGTAGTATAAATTGTGCACCAAGTAGTATAAAGGTTACATCAAGTAGTATAAATGGTTACATCAAGTAGTACCGGTACTCCATGCATTCTTGTTATTGGAATGAGGGAACAGATCAACGATGGGCTGCTGATGAACTATTTCTTCTTTTTTTTTTTGTCTAGTTTTGGACCCCATTCAAGAGGAGCCGCCTCATTTTGAGAAGTTTTCCTACTCGGCCGAGAAAGGAGTGTTAAAAAAGTGAAAGAACAAACTCTGATAAACATACTGTGAATTGAAGATAGCGACAGTGTGCACATAGATTCATTGTACCAAACGCATCACTTCACCTGGAATGTAAATATTCCATTGAGCTCACACACTGCAGCTAAAAAAAAAAATAGTGTTTTATAATAAGAAGACTCATCAGAAATCTCTCATTTTGTGTGCCATTGAAGTCCGTCTATATAATCAGTCATTGTCTTGTCTATATTTTTTTTAATTTGTAAATCATTCATAGTTGATATTTTAAGCTTTGCATCCATTAGATACGTACCAAGCCAGTGATGGAGTGTCGTGCGATGAATAGGAATTATATGTATAAGTTGATACAACTTAGTTTGTCCACCATACTCTTTGACTGTATTGCTCAACGAGATATGTAGTATCCGTCTTGCCATCGTTCATGCCCATAGAGCGCACATAGTTTATGATGTAAATTTTTAAGCGGATTGTGTGTTTCTCTCCTTTCCCAACTTTTGTCGTTTGTATGAAAATACACGTGAAGAATGCTTTGTGTGTTTCTCCCTTCAAAAACAAAACAAAACTTGTAGAGAGATTATCTTTTATAAAAATGGTGTTTATTTTATTTTTGTTTTTATTTTATCAGCAGTGTCACTTTTTCAACTTCATAATATCTCGCTCACTCACTTGAGTGTTTCGTGCGAAAAAAAAAACAACACAACAACATAGCAATACAAATTAGCTGCTTCTTGTTAATGAAAAATTACATTACGTCTTTGTTGAGTTGTTGCACATAGATCTATGTATATTCAATGACATACAGGTAGTTACATTACAAAATATATGAGGGACCCGGGGGAAATATGTTATTAGTGAAATAAAAGCTTTGAAAAAAGCAATCCCTAAAACTGGGAATATATTGACTTTTAGCATGTTAACTGCATTGTTTTAGATGCTTAGCAATTCATACTCCTCATATACCTCTTGTTTTTGTTTAATGTATCATGAACCAATCACAGATGAGGATGTTTTAGCAGCAGTTGTGTATACTTGGCTGTAAATACAGGCGAGGGGGGGGGGGCTGATTTTCGTTGTAGGGTGAGGGAGGGGGTACCATGACTGGGATACACATTTACTGTATTTAGAAAAGTAGTGGGTCATATTGTTGATACGTGTCTCACAAAACTGAATGTTCATTTTTTTTTCCATTTTTTTTTTTTATGAATGACTCTTGAAACGATTATTTTAATTAATGAAATTGACAGTTTATGTAAATGCCAGATGCAGTTAATAGAAAATCAACCTCCATCATTTTCAGCCATGCTGATCCACTTCGGTAAATCTAATTATGAAAAATAAAGCGAGAGCATGTTTCGATATTAATCCGTTTACAAATTTGAAACAGCATTTATGTTAAAAAAAAATTACTAAATCTAAGCTGATGAGAAAAGTTGAATAAAAAAAAAGTTACCTGTAAATTGTTGATACTGTGTTTGACACTATTAAGGAACTGTTGTGACCTCATTAATTATGTATATATATATAACTACCACCATTAGATGACACTTTCAATCATTGATGTGTATGTGTAATTATTGACTGAAAGAACAAGGGATGTCATACCTCTGTAACATATGCTACGTTCTCACGACAGCATTTTATCAGAGCTCTACGGCTCGAGACAAGTTCGGCTCCAATAAACCCTCGGGGTTGAACTCAGTAGGGTTGAGCCCCGACTATGTATACGCAGGGCCTATCTATCGGAGCCCAAATCAGGCCCTCAATCGTCTTCTTCAATTTGAAGTAACCTCTCATTTCAATTATGGTGGAGACAATATCCTTCGTAACTTCATGGAATTTCTGATTTGACGTAGAGGTACGCGCCCTAATATCTATTTTGCAGAGTAAGGAAATGCTGCGATAGATTGACAGGTCAACAGGTCAAGGAAAAGTGGTGTACGAAATTATGCGACAAAAACTTGAAAGAAGGACTGAACAGATCCAATGAAAATTGAAGATACTTTTTAAAGACACCAGAGATAAAAATCGTAGAAGCGGTCACGGTAAGGTGACATGTTCCTAGTAAGTTTAGATTGACAACTGTAACACATATCACAGCAGTTGAACAATGACAATAGTAATAGGCTGTAACACATTTCAGCTGCTGTGTTTCCTGTTTATTCAAGATACTACATGTTGTATTACCTAAATCATAACACCAGTTCATTGTCTTTTCTACCTCAATGCTCAGACTCGATTGTGAGTGTGTTTTTTTTATCCCAGATCAACAAAATCGTGCCATGTAAAGAAACAACACAAGCTCGACACCAATATCGTTTTTAGGCATGTTTTTTTTTCACACTAATTATTCGAGGACACTGTTCTGACCGAACTGAATTGAACTATGGCAGATCTCGGCTCTCGTTCGGCCCCCAATCGTATGAACGCATTGGAGATAATCTCCTGTTAATCGATGGGAGGAGTAGTAGTTCGGCTCCTGTAGAATGCTGCCGTGTGAACATAGCAATTCACTGCCCTCATTTATTTATGTACATATATAATTTACCTGTTTGTTCATATTCAATTTTTACAAGACATGCCCCTTAGAGGACACTTTCCATTGTCTTTATGAATCTGTGTAATGACTGAAAGAATAAGGATGTTATCCTCTGAAACATGCACTGCCCAGATGAGGGGTTATTGTCACCTTATTACTTATGTGCATATATAATTTGAGGATACCTTGGTACATTAGATTCAATTGAAAAACCTGATAATGGATGAATTTGCCAGTTAAACTCCACAACTTGTAATTACCCGCTTTATGGCCGAGTGACAACATTTAAGTACTAAACATATTTATCAGTTCGAACAAAAAATACCTAGATAACGTTCGAGTATACTCTGCATGGCATTAAATCTACATGCCCATTTTTTAAAAGCATAGTGAAACACTTGCAATACCACCTGAAACTCTTGATATGTTATGATAAATAACATTGAGTGAGGATTACTTTCATTTGGCACCTCACTTGGTTGTACTATATTCATAATAACGTTTATCTCTGGTCCAACGCGTGTTGTCTCGTGTCACCAATTGGTTTTCTTACACCAAGTTCTATTTCAAACGCGTTGTACGAGGGCGTATTTCAATTACGTCAACTGTTAGCCTTGTGCGTGTGGCTTCGTTTGACAAGTACCCGTGACCTATGGATCGATTCTCGATTAGACACTTCCAAACTGGCTATGTTTCTGAGAATATTAAAAGTAGAAAGACTGACAAATCTGTGTGTTTTGTTTCCATCCATTCTGTAGGAGTTTGAGCTCGACAACATGTGTTTTACTGACACAAATTAAATTACATACATGTGGTTTCAACAAATTAAAACAATATTTTGATCTTTGTACGAAATTCACCCAAACGCTAATATTGTCGTCTATGGAGTTCTAGTTATTATACCTTGTGTGCGGATTTGTTGTGCTTTGAAGGCGTAACATAGCGCCACCTGGAGTTCAATCGAGTCACACGGCACTCCGAGAGTGAAATGTACCAGAGTTCCTTTATCCCAAGTCTTCGTGGACTTTCACAGTTCCTATTGGTTGTATCTAGACTGGCCGAGTCGTGGCTATTTCATTGTTTTACATAATAATTTCTCATAGAAAGAATTTCTAGAATCTCTCTCGTTCACGCGAAATTTCGCATCTAACCATGTTTATAAAATTGCAATGGCTGATCCAGTCTATGCTCTATCGTACGGTAGTAGAGCGTTTGCATTCAAGTCGCTAGTGACTGCATTTACAAATCGCTGTCTAAGTAATAAAAATGAAATAAAAAGTTCGCCAGTTGAGTTATCTTATCCCCACAAGCACGTTTAGGGGAATTAGCGGCAAAGTTTTATTTGGTGGGGGTGAAGATGTCAGATCTGGTACCCATGCTGAAGTATGGCTTTTCAAAAACGCCTCTAAACACGTGCTTATTTTTGTGAAATTATACATTTTTTCAACTGCAGTAACTTGAAATAGATACCCTATATACATACTAGAATCACAGTTGACGTAAAATGAATTCATGAGATTCCTTTTGTCACACTTTATTTATATATATTAAAATATTCGACCTTAAACACACGTATACGCGTCAAATAACTAAATAACACCCCTTTTACGCGTACCATATTTTATTCAGAGAACCCCCTCTCCCGGGAATAAAGTTGGGACACTTTGCCAATCTAGTCTATGGGTAGGAAGGTCAACACCGATGTACCCCGACCACATTGATACGTCAGTGGGACCGCCACTCGTTCCGGTCTCTCATCTCGGTTCAATCAGGGTCTTTGGTTCAATCAATAGATTGGCTCGGCATGCAGGAACACCTCACCGAGTCGATAAGAATATCAAGGAAGCTACAGATTTGGGCGTTCCCACTAAAAAAAAAACGAACAGTCCCTGTGGAGGAACTATGTTTCAGTGAAGGAAGTGTCGACTATTTACGCTATAGTAAGGCTAGAATATCACAACACATATAACCGAACATGGTTCGTGTTGATACAGTCAATTGTCAAGACAAAATGCTTTTTTTTTTTGGAGTAGTTCCAGCAACATTTGGCTTCGGGGGATTGTCCAATTTGAATAGTAAAATACTATATAATAGCAGTTGACAGAGATTGATCGACGAACTGGTCCATCGTGTTAATTTCCCATGTGTAATCAGTACTTGACAAAACCCGATCACACTTCCCCCAAAAATACCCAATTGTTTACTGGTCTCCGTGGCGGAATATGGACATATCCGAATACCTTTAATTCAGATTAATTAGTTTGTTGTCTTATTTCTAGATAAGCGAAACAAATGAAAATGATGAGCCTTTTCAGTAAAAAAAAATGCGGCCAACTAATATAACCAATGCAGTCTCAGATGATACAGTGTGAATGATAGAACAAATAGGTGATGTATCTTACTAGTTTATCTGTGACAGTTCCACACGTCAGTTACGGGCGCACGCCAAACAAAAACTGATCATGAAAACTGCTGTCTTCCAATCAATTGTCCTTGGAAAATTGCCATACCCTTTGGTTAAAACGACAGTATGGAAGTTGTATACAGTATATTCTTTCATTTTACCCACGTAACCCATATGCTATGTTGAGAATGAAATTTCAATTATGGCTGTGGATATAGCTGAATATCATGAAACATTGTTTGAATATTCCAGTCGATGTTACAGTAAAATTACAGCGGTGGACTAGCCCTGTTCGTTGATAGTGCTGATTCGCGTTGTAGATCATGGTGCTATGCAATATGGGACTCACAGCAACGTACTCAACGCATGTATAATACATTTTTTGCCTAAGACATGAAATTCGAACACGCGCTGCGCGAGGACTACCGCCTTTTACTTTTTTTTTATAGTGGCCCACCTTCCCTCCATCTAGGTATTGTATGGTGTCTGGTTAATATGCTTATATGTGTTTTTGGCAAAGAACATTCATGATTACAATTATCATAGACAACTTCGCATCCACAATAAATATAGCGGGACTTTCAATATGCTAATTTCCAACGATTGAGAGCAGACAAGTACTAGTATTGTAATATTCCGAATGGACCAGGGGATAGCGGTTGCCATGATCGGTTTATTTCGATTTTTGCTGTACACAATTTTAAAAACAAAAATATGGCCCCACCTCCGACGTAAATCACCGAGTCCATGCCTTGGTGGATTTAGCCGATCAAAGTTTCTCCTGAATACACACAGGCCAATGTCATCATCATTCCATCGTTACGGTCCGTTCAGTGTTCCTTCTCCAATGAAACTCAATGAACCATGACCACCGGGCACAGACGTGCTTCAAAAGTGAGCAGTTTTTATACCCTTGCATTGAAAACACTCCATACCCATATTTAGACCAAAGTACAATGTTTGTAACTCATATAATACTTTATCTCATTCAAGGTTGCAATGCGGAACCTGGCACTAAAATCACTGTAATCATCTGAGAGGCAATGTAACACAAATAAGACAGCCCGAATGTGGGCATCCGCCTGGTCCGCCGTTTGATCAGTATTAAGTAGTGTTGCGCCCTCGATACGGTAATTTTGAAGAGTCACTTTGTTTGGGAAGGGCGGGGACACTCGATGGTTGGCTTTTTATATGTTTCCGCCGACGGATAATGTAAAATGTCACAAAAGGTTTGATTATTTTGTTTTGATTCGATTGATTATTTGACGTGCAGATGGTATACACCTGATTTCGTGGAACCAATAACTACATGCAGCCACCATCGATCACTCGCAATATCAAAAGCAGAACTATTCTCCCTTATACTACGCACAATTTGGTAGCCATTTTCGCATGTTACCGATCTGGAAAAAGGTGGGGTATGAGGTATTTGCCATGGTGTTACAACGGGGCACACCCTTCCCTCATCCCATACTGTTCTACATATAAACAAGTTGTGTCAAGGGGATACTAGTATGTTGTTCTCAATATTGATTGAGAGATAAAACATAAGGTTTTCCCTCGATACCAGTCTCTGTTTAATAGTTACACGCTATTTGTGATATATACACAA